AATAAATTGAACGGTCAAAACAATTTCATAAATCTATGCTTTATGACTTATCTGTAACCATGAACTTTGTGAGTATTTTACAATACTTTATACTTATTTTATGCATGCCCAAACATTTCAACATAATAATGGCAAGATCTGTATCAACAATATTGTAACCTGTTTGATACATTGTTGAGTTATTTATTATAATACCATTTTTATGTAGAAATGGATGTGTATCACTTGCATTCTGTCATTATAATTCATAACTCCGGTGTATTTCAATGAAAAATGCCTCATCTATATAATATGATATGCATTAAGCAATTTTTGACAAAACATGTCCATGATTGAATCAATATAAAAATATCCCTTCTATGCTTCTATGAGCTTTAACTTCAATGATGTTTCATTCAAGGATCTCATTGAATTTCATTTATAATTTATTGTCTGAATTGCTTTATGCAAAGGATTGTCCTTCTAGGAATTCGGATTCTATCTTTTAGAATAAAATTCGTGGTCAACTTGGGATACAACGCTTGAGGTAATTTAAGTCTTTTCCTTTCATCAGCAAAATGCGTTGAAGTTCATGAGTAATACGATCGTGATAACAAATTTGAATTGTGTATAATTTGAAAGAGTGTAAGAATATTGGTTATAAGTGTATATAAGTTGATAGAATTAGATGACAAACGGTATTATAAATGGTGAAACATTATAGCTTATAAGTTACGATATATAATAAAAATGCAAATTTTTAATTATCACATGTTAGAGTATAACATGTGGAAGCACTTAGACAATATTTACAAATCCTGACAATTGTTCTCCAACGAAGGTTTACATTCAATGATGTATACTTTAGTTTGATCTTCTTTCGCATGTAATCAAATTTATTTTAAAATACTTCCGATTTGAGTCAATTCTGAGCAATATCTTATTATTTAAATAAAAACTGATTCCTGCTGACTATAATCACAGAAATGAAATAATAAAATAGTATACATCATTTACAAATTATTCGAATGAAGACATGGTATTCAACATAAAGTATGTAGTGTTTCACATCTTTGAGTCATACATTCAGTAGTCATGTCATGTGTTAACAAATACAATATATATATTTTATAAATGTACAGAAAGATTCGTAGCGCTGTTTCATTGAGCTTGTAATATACGGTACAGTTCAAGTTGTCATATTACTGTTCACTTATAGTTACTGTCTTAATCAGTTTGTTAATGCACAGAGTAAAGAGAAGTACTTGGTAAGCATATAGTATTACATACTATTTTTATATACTGTTTTTAAATGTAAAAAACAAATAAGAGATTACTGAAACTAATATTTCTATCAAATAAAAGATCAATTTTATTGTCATGGTCTATGTGTATAAGCATTTAATACTTCGGTGTTTTACAAACATAAATCTCAATTGTAGATATTGAAAAAAAATTATATAAAACAAACATGAAAACTTAATGTAAAAACACTTAAAAATTGTAAAATACCTTTTTAAAGGATAGTATACTTATTAATTACGAAAAAGAGAGAACACATCTAAGTAAAGTATTATTAAATTAGTCATCAAACCTTAAAAGTTTCCTGTGCAAGATTTGCGTGGGTATTAGTCAAAATAGCTTGACGCACTTGTTAAATGCATGCGTGATAATTTCGCAACGTTGGAAATACTTCGAGTGAATTAGTACAGTTACTGAGTTTTCGATAACGAAAACAAGAATGATATATCGATCATCATTTTGGGACATACAGCTCAGTTCTGAATTAATTGTATTGTTAGTACAAAAAAGGTAACAAAGCACAGTCTTATCATAAATTTGGTCTGTGTAAGTAACAAATACTAATTATACGATTTTTGATGTGCTTATTTTAGCGGCTTTGAATCAACTTATGTATTGAAAAACCTAGCAATATGTGATTAGTAAGGCTTATTGGTCCAATTCTAGATAGTAGTAGTTTCATTGGAGTGATTAACCATTAAGATCATTTACATGATATAACGACTTCCGCTTCTCTATTTTAACGCGGATACGTTCTTACTCCTTTTTCTTTTTAATTTATAAATAAAACAGTTTTGCATTAAGTTAGGTATCAATCAATAAATTAAGATCATGTATATTCCATTTAACGAAATTGTTTTACAATTAATTAAAACATTTATTTTCAGTTTCATCTACCGTATTAATAAGAAACCTATAGAAACCAATTTTCTCAAAAATATAAATAATATAATTTTGAAAGAAAATTGTGTCAATAAATTTTTATTTTTATTTTTATACTCTTCTCATTTTGATTCACCTATTTCGGAATCAATCTTTAAAAATGTGTTAATGATCCATAATCCAATAGTGTACAGATTAAAACGATAAATTTGCTACCACAATAGGCATTACCAAGCAGAACAATATACCAGTAAAAATTCCTGTAATTAATGATGCTGCGGCAAACATGCCAGCCGTTGAAGCATATTGTGGATCTACCATTCTGAAATTAAAATATGCAATTATGTATTTTTCATCACATTAACAAAAGTATCTTTTCCTTATTATTAAAATTTAAGAGCTTCACCTGGGACAGTACATCATGGCCAGCGACGAATAGTAACCGCTACTTACACCCATTGTTACAGCAATTATAAAATAAATCCAGTCGTTATTAATGTATACTGGTAGTAATCTTATGAGACGTTTTGGTCTATAATTGCACATTAAAAACAATGGTATAAATAAAACACGTAAAACAACTGGAATTACCAAATACCTTTTACTAGGCTGTAGAGAGAAAGCAAAAAATTAGAATGAGTGTGTTTGAAATTAGAATTATGAAATTTACAAACAAAAATACTTACCCACTGTACCAATGATGCAATAGAACTTCCAATCAAAGCGGTAATATTAAATGTGAGAAAACACATAACAGAAGCATAGTACTCTGATGTAACTATAAAATTTGGATCTGAACGTTGTATATCAGACTGCACAGCAGGAAACAAGGAAAGGGTCACGAAGAACACGAAAAATGTGTTGAAACATTGGGGAAAACACTGTTCGAATATTTTCCAATATGGCACTCTATCATGCTTCCCTCTTCCTTTATTTTCTAATTGTCTTTTATTTAATTCCTTTTGATTTAATAATTCATGACATCGATAAAACCTCTATAAATAGAACGAATTAATAATGTTGCAGATAAGAAGGAATTAAAAAAAAATTTATAAATCTTACATTTATTGGAAGTGCAAAGTAAGTATCAAAGCATGCCAAAAGAACAAAGAGAGCCGTTATAAAATAGTATATTGCAGCAGTTCGAGCATTCGGTGACATGTAATCAGCGATAAAATTAATTATGGCTGTGAATGTTCCACTTAAATTCTGAAAATAAGAGAAAAATAATATGTCTGTGTAACAACACGTCTTGTAATCTTCTTTATCATGAAATTTGAGAAGTTGGTGTTTACCGCGCCTAAGATAACAGCTCCTGTGTACTTTGTGGGTAACTTTGCAACCATACCAAACACAGAGTTTTGGTAAATTCCATTAGCAGCTGCAAAAATGTTTAAAGTACATGATAGAACAAGACGAGATTATAAGAAAAAGATTAGAACTTGCATTAATTAGAAAAACTTAAAGCTTCCTTCCTACTCCATTTTAAAAAAATAAAATGTTTTACGTCTTACTGTTTAATATAACAATAGAAACCATGGTAATCCAGAAAAAGACACCAGGCCAACCAGAACTATCAGTCATTGCCAAAATAACAGTACATACAAATATCAAAACTTGTATGAAGATGCTCCATACTATACGTGTTGTCAAATTGCCACTAAAACAATTAGAGACATTTCAAAGTTCTGGAGAAATTATACTAATCTATAGAACAACACAAACATTAGGCTCCAAAGTTGTTAGAAATAGCAAAAATATAGTGGAATACATCAAATTAGTAGTATTTAGAATGTACATACCCTAATTGTATAAATATATTTAACCAATTAAATAGTACATTTGGTATTTGCGCTGCAAATCCCACATATGCAAGGAAATTTTTGTCATAATCTGTTTCAATCCCTGTATAATCCTTAGATAACTTGTAGTCAACAAAATACTGAAAGAATAGTTGATTCAACTATGAACATGTGATCTTTATTATGCTGAAAATTAATTTTATTTAAGATTCTTACTTTTTTTGCTGTTATGAACATATTCCATGGCATCAAGGCACCAATTCCATGAAGTACCATTATGAGGAATACAATATTTAATCTAAATGTATAAACATATGAATATAATTATTTTAGTATAAATAGAATATAAAAAGATATTTAATTTTTCAATAGCAATCATAATTTAATTGTTCAATCAACAAGTTACCTCAAGTAATGTAATCTAATAATTTCACTTGAGATTCATATTTAACAAACAGATGATTGGACTTCTTTTAATATAGCACAATCATTAAAAATCCTATTAATAGTTTTTCTGCAGTTGAAGCGTTAAAAACATACAGTTGAATTTACCTATCTCTGGGTGGATTTAATTCAAGGTCTGCTTGATCCATTGTGACTCCTTTAAAGTTCAATTCATCATCAGGTCTGCCAGTACCTTCCCATCCAGGAGAAAGTCGTACAGGTTCAGTACCTATAATAAAAGATCCAGCTCTTTTAGTATGATTCATACAATGCACGCACACAAACAGATGCAAACAGTAATTTAATATCATAGTTGTTAGAGCTTGACAACACTTCCACGATGCTCCAATTTAAAGCAATTATTAGTTCAAAGAAGAAGACCCTAATGCATAACACAACATGTACAGTATACATACATTATATCAGAATCTCATCCTGCTCTTATGCAACGTAAAGATAAGAAACATTTTAAACATTCATATTGGAACAACACAAATATTATTCATATATTAAAAGAAATGAAATATTAATTACCAGTAGGAATGTGAACTGTAAAAGTATTGTAGGAAGGTTTAATGCAACCTGTGGACAAAATATTCATACAAGTTTATTCTAATTGTTTTCCATTTGGCTTTAAATTATATTCTTGTATTATATACATAATATTTTGCTGTAAGTGTTTAATATATTAAAATCATACTAAATAAAATAACATATTACATAAATTCTTATGAAATTTACGTATGACTACAATTTATAGTAATCAATAATAATAATAAAGGCCACGATAGAAACTATTTTGAAGTTATAGAAATATGAATACAGCTTCACCTA